TTTATTTTTTATTTCTTTTTTTATTTTCACTACTAATTAAAAAATAAAACTCTTAAATTAGTTAAAATTTGGTAAAGTTTTTACTTATATTGAAAAATTAATAAAGATTAAATTATTACAATAAAATTAATTATTTTTTAAGGATAAAATTTTTAATTTAAATATGAAAAAATATATATATAAGAAATTTTGTATGTCATATAAATCTATTGCATTTGGGCAAATAAATTCAAATATAAATTTATGGAACTCCATTTAGAAAACATAATACGTGGGCGGGCTCTCCTCGTGAAATTTGTCAAGGAGATTAGGATATTTAAATCGAAAGAACTTAGTCGATGATTTTTTAAAGTTATTACGCATGTAAGATCATATTATCTACGTTAATTATTAACCCGTGAAATTAAGATGATAATACGTTGAATTTCAACCGATTTAAACTTAATAGGGACCCTAATCTTATATACTTGTGTTAAATCTAAATTGAAATAAGGTAAAAGAACGATAACCAACTCACCATGTTGGGATGTTTGAAATATTTACGATCTATCTTAAATTTTAATAATGAGTATGTTTAACGTACCTATATGATTGAATAAATATATACAAGACCATGATTGAATAATTGAAAATAATACCTATATGAATTGATTAGTTTTTTTGTTTTGTTTTTGAATGATTGACCTAACCTAAATCTGATTTTTGAATCATCTTATTGAAGATGAGACAGTATGATTGCTCCTAAACTATAGCCACCATTAGGAATGATCATATAGATTTGGGACAATATCTAAAATAATTGAATATGAATATCTAAGAATTCAGAAAACCTATATACAAACACATTTAAATTTTCAATAATTTTATTCCAAAAAAGTTTCAAGTGACCCATATATCCAAAAACTTTTACACATACATTATTATGATTTACACTAATACACATCTAATTTCATAATTTTTAAATATATTAAGTATTATGGCATTATAATATAAATAATAGTTGAAGTAGAGAACAAAGTATAAAAAGTAAGATCCATCCCTATCTAAATTAAATCGGGAATTCAATCCTACCCATAAGAAGAGATGTTTTTTTTATTAAAAAAAAAAACCGAACGAAACACAACAACATTCGACAAAATTTAAAAGTATATACATATATTATGTTAGATGAGTTAATATTATATTATCTTAATTCACTAATGCATTAATAGAAGTATAGTGATTTAGTTGAATTAAATTTCGAATGTAACGGCCTCGGAAATTTAGAATGAAATATGTGTATTAAAAATGTCAAATGCGAAAGTGTAATAAAAATTTTGATCATTTCTTACACAGAAAAACTAAAAACGTGCTCAAAATATAAAAGAACAACTAACTAAAAAAGATACTCGAAAATAAGAACTATAAATATAACTACAGAGTCTTTAGGCGTCCTCTTCACCGTCTTCCTGCGGAACGGGCTCGGGAACAATGTCTTCATGATCTGAAATGGTTAAATAAGGAATGAGCTACACCAGCCCAGTAAAGACATCACACTATCTCACCGCCACGAAGGTAAAGGTGAGTAAAAAATACAAAAAGACCAATGGAGCATAATTTATAATAAATTTTTTTATTAACATAAAAACTTTTACTGTCCACTTACCTCGGTGAGATCCATAAAACAACATGTGAAAGCAATAACATTATCATCATCATGAAATCATATGAACTTTATAACATAACATATATCACACCTTTACATTTCAATCATCAGAAAACAGATTTCATCTTTTACCAGCCTACTAGTATCCCTGGGGATCCATAGGGGGTCCCCTCTACACGTGAACCTTAACATTTACAACCTGATTCCAGGGTCGTCCCCATACCCCGTCCGGTATGGGCACCAAAATCATGAACCTCAATACCCCGTCCGGTATGAGGGTGAAACGGGCCGTCCCCATACCCCGTCCGGTATGGGCGTCAAAACACATAAGGTCTCCATATCCCGTCCGGTATAAGAGACCACGTTCCCGGTAGGGTTCCCTACGGACCCGATCCGTCTACCATCTCCCAGGATATCTAGTCAGGTTGTCCACATTATCCACTTATCAATTCACATAACCTTTTTTTGCCCTTTTTTCTTGGTTTCAATCATCCAAACACACACAACATATAAACTAGTAATGAACACCAGACAAGACAACATAGTATCAGGTTCATTATAATACAAACTATAATAAAAGAAACCATGATTCATGCATACGAGACCATAACATAATTACATCAAACATCATGCTGCATTTAATACTGAAAATTAAATCAAACAATAACAGATCAACACTGTATCAGACTCGGGCTCCATTGACAACCTTAATCAATTATACATTTATAAAGTCACACAGTACAGTTTAATTATTTATTTAGCTTTAATACCGTGATAGGAAATAGGGTGAGGAGTCCTTACTTATTTCGGGGTCTGAATACGGCTCTACAGTGCGCCTACAGGCTGTCCCTAATTTTTCCTGAATTTTTCTTGGGGAACTGAAACGTACTACTGGTACCTGCACGTGTCCCAAAAAATCCCAAATTAGACCTAGGGCCCCCTTCGGCCAATATCGCAATTCCGGCACGGCGGCTCTGTTGTGCTCCGGCGACGGCGATTCGCCTCAGGTTGGCCGTTTTCGGCCGAATTCGGCCACGCTTGCATCGGTCCCTGCGATAGAACAACCCTAGGGCCCTCGGTGGGCCGAAAAATCACGAAAAACCGAAACTTATCGACGGCGGTGCTCTCGGGTGCGGCGGCTCCTCCGGCGTGAGTCGTGTTTTGATGTTTGGCTCCGATCAACATGTAGAGAAAAGAACGGTGATCACAGTGGTATAGAATTTGCATCAAACGGAGGCCGGGAAGGGCCTCATCGGAGGCAAAAATCGAGGAGGGGCGCGGCGGCGCCGCTGGGTTTCGGCTGGGTTTTTCGACCGTTTGGCCGGTGGTTTGGCTCCGGTTTGGCCATAGGCGGACTCAGAGTCGAAAAAGGAGCAAGGGAGAGAAAAATTACCTCGATTGGCGGTCGGAAACTTCTCCGGTGCGGCGGCGGGTGGCGGCGACCGGCTCCTCCGGCGTCTGGTTCTTCTTCTCCGGCGATCATTGGCGGCTAGGGTTTCTTTGGTCAGGTGTGAGTGGGGGTATTTATATCCTTTGCCTTTTAATCTCGACCGTCCATCAAGATTGAATCTGGACCGTTCGATCGCGATTTAATTAGGATTAAATCTGAACCGTTCATCGCGATGCAATCTGGGTCGTCCGTGCCTGATTGAATCTGGGCCGTCCGTGCGCGTTAATCTGGGCTGTCCGTGCGCGTTAATCTGGGCCATCCGTGCGCACGTTTGATCTGGGCCGTCCATGTGCGCGGGAACGGATCTGGGCCGTCCGATCGCGCGCACGCGGATCGCCACGTGGCTCGTTCCCTGGTCAGCGTTGCCTTGCCATGCGGCGCATTCTGGTTGGTCGGGGCCGCTGACATGGTTGCTGACGTGGCACAACTTTTTTAAATTACGTTTTGACCTCCCGGTTTCTGATTTTCTTTTCAAAAAATACCCACATAATCTAAATTTTCACCTTTTTTTTCAAAATCAATTTCAATTAAGATCAAATAATATTTTTAACCAATTTTATTATTTTTATTATTTATATTTTCATTGAATTAAATTAAATTAAGTTAAATAAAAAAATTAAATAAATAAATAAAAATAAAAATAAATAAATAAAATTTTTATTATTTTTTTTTATTTGGTTGTTACATCGAACACCCTTTTTAGAATTTATTAATTTCAGTAATTAAAAGTACATATATTATATTATATTGTATTGAAATGAACTAATTATTTAGGTTGGAATAGGATTGGTGCACGGCAGGAAGTGGGTTTTGGACCAAAAAAAAAAAAAAAAAATGAAATGAAGATAAGAGAAGATCCTCAAGATCTCCTCCATCGAAATGTGAAACGTACAGATTTTGTTTTCTCTTCTTTTATTTTAATTAATTAATTAAAGAACCGACAAAATATAAAGTTATATATATATATATATATAAAGAGGTATGAAGACAGGCTGTGTATTGATAAATAGCCATGTCGTACACGTACTTTAATTAGCAGCCTTGCTTTTT